ATGCCCGTCCGTCCGATCAAATGGCCGGTCAATAATCGTCTCGCCCGAGTCCATCCTCCCATCCCAAGCTGTCAACAAGACAACGCCGTGTCCGTATACATGCCCCGCAAAGCTGCCTACTCGAAGAAACTCCCAGCGCGCCAAATCGAAGGCACTTAGGCAGCAACAGAACACCCAACCCAATTGTTTTACTAAGTGCCCCCATCTCCACAGCTTGTCCCATCCATCTTCTCCTTCCTGCCAGTAATCAGACAGAACGGCCACGAAGAATACTAGGTCAGCAGTAAATTCAGCACTTGATTAGGCACACAAGGGTTCCGGGCAGGAGATGGGGTGACCTCAACGTTGCTCTAGACGAATCAACGAAAACGGAAAACCTAGATGACCGTATCTACGGCCGAGATCGCCAACACAAGAGCGAGAGATTTACCTGCTGCCTTGTACGTCATCTCTGTGGCCGGCAACAGTCTCACCTCACCCCGCCCACCCCGCCCCGCCCTGCCCCACAAAGGGGAAGAGTCCACCGCCATTTATTTCACCAATTCTGCAGTCTTTACCGTCCTCGGTGTGTCTTTTCCCCCTCTTCCATGCATGCACCGTGGTTGGCATCCCTTAGTGGTCCCACAACTTTTTGCACAACCTTCCCCCCCTACCGTAGCGGGTGTGCTCCTTTTTGGCCTCAAGTCGCACCACCTCGCCATTTGAATACTTGCTGTTTAAGTAAACAGCCGCACCTCCTCTGCCTTATAACAACAAAGACACCCGCACATCACGTATCACGTGTGCCGATGCAAAAGAATCGATGCGAGGAAGGGGGAAGGAGGAGGAGGAGGAGGAACCTAAAAAGCTTGCCGACGTCTTATCAACTGCGACGAACAGCTTCTCGCGCCATTACCTACGCTGGCCCCACAAGGGGAGGACAAATGAAGAAGAAGGATGTTACTACTTGAAGTTGATCCCCGAAAAGACCAAAACAGCTGCTGCTGGTATGCGTCGTCGAGGCCATATGCCTCCCTCCCTCCCCGTCGCCGCTCAAGATCTGTCAACCCAGTTCCGACATCACTCTCGACCCTCCCTCCCTCCCTCCCTCCCTCTCGTCGTCCGTCTCTTCTTCCTCGTCAACATATATTTAAGACCAGCGATTGCCGCATTCGACGACATCCGAAGCTGTTCTCGATGTCATCTTCTTTCGCCGATTTCTTCCTCAACACACACACACACTATAATGAACCACGGAGGAGAAAAATAAACGACAATCCAAAAGACACCCGCACACACCGAGGGTCGGCGACTCTGTCTGCCTGCCTAATGCTGCAAACACACCAGACCAAATGTTGTTCTCTAGCTGCCGCTTATTACATACAATGTCGATGACGATGACAATGTCGATGACGATGACGATGATACCGCGGGAGAGAGCCGAAAGCGGCAGTGAATTGACCGCGGCGAAGAAACACGACCCGGCCTTTCGAAGAAACACAGGAAGGAAGAGGCCAGTTCATACTTGAGGCGACTGAAAAGACATCGTAATCATGAAATACCCTTGGGCAACACAACAAGACGTGACGACCGGACGAAGAAGAGCTTCCCACGAAGCCAAACACGCTGGTGCAGTAATTAAATGTTTGATTGTTTCTGTTGACGAAAGAAACAAAACACCACACACCTAAGCCGTGGCCGCACCCAAAACACAGTCCAGGGATCGGAAACGATTCACTGTGGTTGTAACAATTTGAGGTTTGCCCCCCCCCCCCCCCACCCCCCCCCCCCCCCCTCCTCTCCACGGGAGGGGCCTTTGCATAAAAGAAGCCACCACTATAAATGAATCGAAGCAGATCCCGGTGGACTGCACGTCGAGCGGTCGCCGCTTCAGTCTTCTACAACTTTCAAAGAAGGGCAAGCAAGATATAAGAACAAAAGAACAAGGGCTAACAGCGGGGAAGGAAAAAAAAAAAAAAGAACAACAAATGACCCAAAAGAACAAGATCCGGTCTTTTATCCTGCGCAGACGCGTTTACTAAGAGACCTAACTACAGCGTTCTACGCAAGCAGGGAACCTTGGCATTCGTGAAGGCAATAAGAGACAGAAGGGCCAAAACAAAGGTAAGCGGGGAGGAAATCCGGAAAGAAATGTACTCGCTCGCGAAGAGCTGCGCAGCACCGACATTGCGCCCCCTCTCCTTCCTTACCTGTTCTTCCTCCTCTCCTCTTCCCTCCTCCCCTCTCCCGCCGTCTTCCGGGTTATCGCCACCTTTTCACCGAAGCAAACAAACCTATCTTGGGGTCAAAGCCTCTTCCTTTCCCCATCTGTCGCAATCTGCTTCGCTCCTTCTCTAGATATAACATTCCTCCATTTGCCCTCGTTGAAGCTCACGTTCACACCGCCGAGCTTTCCACTGATTCTCCTATGACACGAACCGCACATTGAAACGGTCAAGAGGAGAGAGAGAGAGAGAGGAGAGAGGGGAGAGAGAAAGAGAGGAGAGAGAGAGAGAGAAAGAGGAGAGAGAGAGAGAAAGAGACGAGAGAGGAGAGAGAGAGAGAAAGCCATCGCGCCGACACTACTTGCCGAACCCCGCATACCTAGACGGTAAAAGGGCTCCCCCTCTTCCTTTCCGTCGGAATCATCCTCTCTTCATCACATACGGCCGCAGGCACCTGAGTGATGATCAAAGCGCAGAGAACAAATCAAATACATAAGACGAATAGAAAGACAGCTGTCACCCAATCTCGCGCCCTCTCCGGACGATGCGGCGGCTAAAGCACGGAGGGTTGAGCACATTATAACTACGATTCGCGCGCAACATGTAAAAGGGAGAGAGCAAGGAACGCGCAGGCACTCGACGAGGGCCGCTAAAGGCTTAAGAATGCTAACGACATTTTCCTTCTCGGCTAACAAAGAGGAAGAAGGCTTGACTTCCTTTTTTATCCGGACTTCCAGACAAGACATGACTGACACTAAAGACGTCTTCTCTCTCACACACCAAGGGGTGCCCTCGGCCCGTTCCGCAGCGCTGAAGAAAAACACAGAGGATTAATTGACAAGGAAACGTGCGTGCGAGAAACAGGCCGAGACCACCCTTCGGCGGGGAATCCATTATCCCCTTTATCTTCCCCTCCACTCGTAGAAACATTTTGATTGGATTTATTTTTGTACAAACTACCCAACGAACGTTCTATGCGCGACAAGCGAGCACCCGCCGTCGTGGGGAACACTGGCCCACGTAACACTACCGTAGTCTGTCTCCACACAACAGTGGATCGACGTACAGAGTGGACGGACAGCAGTGCCTTCACTCACACTCCCTTGTGCCCACGCCAACCGCCTCCCTCCCCCTACACTCAATCCCGTACAATCGCGGGGA